GGTTGCTTCCATGTCCTGGCTATTATAAACAGTGCTGCGATGAACATTGGGGTGCATGTGTCTCTTTCAGATCTGGTTTCCTTGGTGTGTATGCCCAGGAGTGGGATTGCTGGGTCATATGGCAGTTCTATTTCCAGTTTTTTAAGGAATCTCCACACTGTTCTCCATAGTGGCTGTGCTAGTTTGCATTCCCACCAACAGTGTAAGAGGGTTCCCTTTTCTTCACATCCCCTCCAGCATTTATTGCTTGTAGACTTTTTTTTAAAAATGTTTTACATTGTCCTTACTTTTCCTTTTTTTTTTTTTCATTTATTTTTATTAGTTGGAGGCTAATTACTTCACAACATTGCAGTGGGTTTTGTCATATATTGACATGAATCAGCCGCTTGTAGACTTTTGAATAGCAGCTATCCTGACTGGTGTATAATGGTACCTCATTGTGGTTTTGATTTGCATTTCTCTGATAATGAGTGATGTTGAGTATCTTTTCATGTGTTTGTTAGCCATCCAACAAAGGAAACTATAAGCAAAGTGAAAAGACAGCCTTCAGAATGGGAGACAATAATAGCAAATGAAGAAACAAAGGATTAATCTAAAAAATATACAAGCAACTCCTGGAGAAGACTATTGAGTCCCTTGGACTGCAAGAAGATCCAACCAGTCCATCCTAAAGGAGATCAGTCCTGGGTGTTCATTGGAAGGACTGATGCTGAAGTTGAAACTCCAATACTTTGGCCACCTCACGCGAAGAGTTGACTCATTGGAAAAGACCCTAATGCTGGGAAAGATTGAGGGCAGAAGGAGAAGGGGACGACAGAGGATGAGATGGTTGGATGGCATCACTGACTTGATGGACATGAGTTTGGGTAAACTCCGGGAGTCAGTGATGGACTGGGAGGCCTGGCATGCTGCGATTCATGGGGTCGCAGAGTCGGACATGACTCAGCGACTGAACTGAACTGATCCATTTCTTCTGGGTCATCCAATTTGTTGGCATTTAACTGTTCATAGTAGTCTCTTATTCTGTATATTTCTGTGGTACCAGTTGTAATGTATCCTCTTTCATTTGATTTTTATTTGAGCCTTTTTTTCCTTGGTGAGTCTAGCTAATGGTTTGTCCATTTTGTTTATCTTTTCAAAGAACCAGGTCTTAGTTTTATTGATCTTCTCTATTGTCTTTTTTTAAAAATACTTTTATGTTAGTGTGTGTGTGCGCGTGTGTGCGTGCGTGTGTGTGCGTGCGCGCGCGCCTGTGTGTGTGCGCGTGTGTGCGTGCATGTGTGTGTGCGTGTGCGCCTGTGTGTGCGCGCGCGTGCGTCCGTGCGTGTGTGTGTGCGTGCGTCCGTGCGTGTGTGTGTGCGCGCTCGCGCGCGCGCATTTGGCTGTGATGGGCCTCCTCTGCTGCTTGGGCTTTCCTCTCGTCGGTGGAGAGCGGGGCTGCTCTCCGGGTGTGGTGTGCGGGCCTCTTACTGCAGTGGCTTCTCCTGTGGTGGAGCACAGGCTTTTGGGCGTGCAGGCTTCAGTAGTCGAGGCACGTGGGCTCAGGACTTGCAGCTCGAGGGCCCTGGATCACAGGCTCAGTCCTGGACTGGCTCCGTGGCACGTGGGATCTTCCTGGATCAGGGATGAAACCCTCTCCGGCATCGGCAGGTGGAGTCTTTACCAGGGAGGCCCTCGGTTGTTTTTTAATCTCAATTTCCTTCACATCTGCTCTGCTTGTTCTTTCCTTCTGCTGACTTTGTTCTTTTTCTAGTTCTTTGGGGTGTAAAGTGTTTGAGACTTTTCTTGAGGTTTATCGCTGTGAACATCCCTCTTAGGATAGCTTTTGCTGCAGCCCATAAAGTCCTGCTACATCCCTGTTTTATCTGTTTTATCTGATAGAAGTATAGCTCTCCCCACTTTCCTCTGGTTTACATTTGCATGGACTATCTTCTTCTGCCCCTTCCATTTTCACTCTGCGTATCCTTATTTCAGAAATGATTCTCTTATAGGCAGCAAATGGATGGGTGCTCTCTCAGTGCATTCAGCCACTCTATGTCTTTTGACTGGAGAATCCATTCAGTTTATTTAACTGTGGACTGTGTGTTGCTCTGGTCTGTGGAAAACAGCTGACTTTAGAGGAAGCCCCGACACTTGGTTTCACCCCTTCCACTTTCCCCTTGGGGTTATCTGCAGCAGCAGTGGCCCCTGACGGAGGCCTGCCCTGTACGAGGCACCTTGCTGCGTGTTCCCCATTTCACCCCTGCCGCAGCCCTGTGATGGGTGCGGTTCTCACCCTTTCTGGAGATGAGGGCACAGAAGTGCGGACAGGCTGTCTCCAAGTTTAGCCACTGTTTGTGGAGCTGCCCCCGTGTGCCAAGACCCAGACGTGTCCCCGTGAACTGGGGGCCTCCTCCGGGAAGCCCTCTCCCCGCCCTCTCTGGGCCCAGCAGCTCCGCACCGGCCGTGTCCCCCGGCGCCCTGCTCCAGGCTCACGGGTGGACTCTGCGTCTGAGCGTGCGCCCCTCCCCACCTCCTGATCCCGGTCAGGAGGCAGTCCCTGCCAGGGAGCCTGCAAAGGGCAAGAGGTGACCAAGCCTCTCTTTTTCTCAACAGGCAGGACCTGGTTATCTCTGACTTCTGGAGCTCAGCACTAGGTGGGTACCGTGGGGCTCAGGCTGGAGGCGCGGGGTGGGCGGAGGGCCTGAAGGCGGGCCAAGCAAGGAATCCGACTCTCCGACGTCTGCTTCACAGGGGGTGTCTGTGCTGGGGTCTAATGCTAACTGTCCGCCCCCTTTAAAACCGTGTGTCTTCTGGCACTTCACCCTGGTCCTCAGCTTCTGTATCTGTGGAATGGACATGAAAACGTCCGTATCCTGTAGTGTGAGTGTAGTAAATGAAGCGCTTTGCCAAGTGCTCACAGCGGTGACCGCCTGCTGCAGGGGAGCAGGGGATGTTGGCTTTCAGCCGTGTGGTTGAAGTTCACGTTTGTCCTGCCCTCTTCCCTGACCTCACACGGCTGTTAAAATCCCTTCCTGAGCATGACGGGTGATGACACAACTATACCATAGTTATGGTCTTTGTGCAGAGACTTGTTTACTTTTTTGTAAATTATACATAATTTTTCTTTTTTTAAAAAAAAGGAATCAGAACTTTTGATTTTTTTTTGGCTGTATTGTGAGGCTTGTGAGAGCTCAGTTCCCTGACCAGTGATCAAACTTGCGCCCCTGCAGTGGACATGCAGTCCTAACCACTGGACCACCAGGGAAGTCCCAATATACGTTAATTTTTCATGCATAAAGCTTTTTACCAAATTTAAGGTAATGTTCTTAGTATATATTCCTAGAGGTGGAAGTGGTCAACTTGCTATCCACTTTCAGGTGGTTTTCCAGAAAGCATTCACGGATTCTTTGAGCAGCGTGGATGCGGAGAGCCAGCTATCTATCTAACCTTCTGTAGCCTGGGTCTTATTTCAAGGTGTCTTTGCTGATAAGTCAACATTGGTATCTCATTATGGGAATGGATACATGGCTGTTTGTGTTGTTTTGTTCTACATACAGATCTGTTCTACTGAATTCAGTGACAGAAAGGGAGAGCGGAGAACTCACCGCCCTGGGAAACAGTTTAGACAGTGCATGTTTCCTTAGTCTCTAGACACCCCAGCATACCTTTTTCTCCTAATTTTTTACATGTTAAATATTCTTACTCCCAGTTATTTATAGGATCATTTTGAGAGTTCTTTTCAATCTTTTATTAGAAAATTAGGTATTTCAGACCACAGTTGCATGTACTGGCTGCCCCTTACTAAACTAGGATGAGTTAATACAAGCTTTAGATGGACATCGTGGTAACGGATGAATCTGACTTTTGCTTGAAGCATTCTCTTAGTTGAGGCCATGGGTACCCAGGTGCCAGCCACTGTCAGCTTGGGGTGGGCACGGCTGCACGCCCCCACGTGTCCTGGGTGGGAGGCCAGCAGCCCCTTCTCTGGGGAGTGGAGGCTTCCGCGCCCTGCTGCCTGGGCCGTGGATGGTTTAGCTCCTGGGTCACAGAACGCCCTCTGACTGCGCAGGGCCCACTCTTTCAGAAACCATCACCGGGTGTCTCCAGAAACACCTGGAGCAGCTGAGGGCCCCAGAGGGGCGCCTCTCGGAAGCCCTGGGACACCTGCATCTTGACGCCCCCCCGGTGGAGGCAGATACGGCCCCTGGCTCCATCCCGGAAGAGACCCTGGTCCCAGGGACCTGCCGCCTCAAGTGTGTGTGTTACGGCGTAGGGAACTTCGCCAGCTGCGCCACAGCTAGAAGCCAGCTGGCGTTTTTGCTTCTCCTTCTGGAGCGGTGCCAGGTGAGTGTCCTCCTGTACCGTCCCCCTCCGGGGTCTCCTGCACATTGACTGAGCCAGGCGTCGCCCTCTGCAGGTTCCCAGGAGTCACTGCTGGGTGTACGACCCTCTGTTCAGCCAGCTAGAAATCGCGGTTCTCAGCGCCCTGGGCGTGGTGGTTCTCAGGGAGAACGAGGTACGTGGCAAGGCCAGGGGTCTGTCAGTCCCGTGTGGACCTGTGTGGTCCTGTCGGAGGAAGCCAGAGGGAGCAGCAGCGTGTGCGCGATTCTCGTGAGGCCTGTGTGTGCCGACTGTGATCAGGGTGGCGGTGTCGCTGCTGGAGGGGAAGAGGGCGCGGCCTCTGCACCGCTCACGGGAGGCCCTTCTGCTGGAGCTGCCCTGTCCCCGGGCTGGAGGCTGCAGCCCAGCCCCGGCTGGGTTGTGGCTGAATCCTCAGATGGGGGATCTCTGAGGCCTTGGGAAAGAAGGCTCTCCATAGGGGGTGACTGGACCCCGAGGTGACGTTTGGAAAGGCCCGAGTCAGGGTGGGGAGCTGCAGAGTGACACGGGACACGTGTGCAGCAGACCTGCGTTTTCTGGGTTTCTGGGTGTCCCGATTTAGTCTCTGTGATTCTGGAGCTGTCACCCGCACGGGGAGGGAGTGCAGGGCGATGCAGGAGGACTGTCTCTCTCTGGTGCTTGAGGTCACCGCCCCCTCCGCCTCTTAGCGATGGGACGGGGAACCTGTGCAGGCAGGAGGCGCACGGCGGACTGGGCACGGCCCTGTCGTGGGGTGAGGGCACGGCTGGCTAGGACTGCCCCCCCACCTTGCTGTAGACCTATGTTCACCCCGTGCACGTGGGACCCCAGGAAGGGAAGCGGAGCGTGTGCGGGGAGCCCACCGTCTTCTACATGCCGCACTGCGGGACGGCACTCTACAACAACCTGCTGTGGAGGAACTGGTCGGTGGACGCCCTGTCCAAGGTGGTCATCGTCGGCAACAGCTTCAGGGGGCTCGAGGAGAGGTGAGCAGGCGCCGGGGTGAACCTGGCCCTCAGGGCACCTGGACAGAGGGCTGGGCTGGGAGGTGTCAGACTGGGTCACGCTGGGAAGCAGGGTGTCTATCTGCAAATAATTTCTCCCTTCCCTTAGGACGGGCAGAGACGGCTTTTCTAAATGGGGGAAAAGTCATTTCTTACAACTAACAGTATTCTCGGTCTGCCTCACACATCCTGTCGCTTCTCCCTAAGGAGATGGGCAGTGGCTGGGGCATTTACACCTGCTACTAAATATGTGACCTCCTCTACAACCCCATTTTAAACGGTTTCTTGCTCTATTGCCTTTCTGTGTCTTAAGGGGAACGAATCTGGTCTCATACTGCCTAATCATGTTTTTTAACAATTTTGGTTTCTAGGTTGTTGACGAGGATTCTGCATAAACATTACCCATACGTTGCAAAGGTATCTGCCTGAGTGGAGGGGCTGGGGTGGACAGCCTGGGAATCTTACTGCCTCTTACTGTGGAGAATCCCACCTTCACCTGTAGTGGTGGCTGCTTGTAAGGGTCTGTGGTCTGGAAGGCTATGTTTTTTTTAGTGCATCTCCTAATTTTTTCTTAATTTCCTCTGTTCTCAGTATTTGATCCAACTTATGCACTGTCCTTGGGGATTCCAACTCACTGCACTAAGTGCTAAAAACACCGTATTCCTTAGAAAGAATGACGTCAGAGTGACGCATAAACCAGGACTAACCTGGGAGGGTGGGACTTACCGCGCGTGCCAAGCTTGTTTTACTTTTGAATCTTTCTGCTCAGATTCTGACAGGCCTGGAGGAGGTGGTGTTCCCTCAGACCCCAAGGTACATGGACATATTTAACGACACCTCCATCCACTGGTTTCCTGTGCAAAAGCTAACCCAGCTGCCCACGGACACTTGGGCGTTTCGGGAAGAGCCAGATTACCAGGACTGTGAGGACCTCGAGATCATCAGGAAGAAGTCAGAGGAGCCTCCCGCGCTGACCTGAGCTGGCTGTGAGGGGATGCGGGGCGCCCGCCGGCTCTGATGCAGACACCGTTTGTGCCCCCGCGCGCCCCCGGCAGGTGTGGCCTACTTGGCCATGTCAATGAGGCTCTGCAGCGAGGTGGGCACCCAGGTCTTCTCGCCCTGCACGAACACCACACCCCGGTCGATGTAGATGACGATGCGGCCGAAGGTGTACAGCTGCTTGCCCTCGTGCCGCTTCCCGATGACTGGCATGAAGACGATGTTGTGCTCCTCGGCCTTGGTCTCGATGAGGTCCTTGAAGTTCATGGGCACGGCGCTGGCAGCCACGCCGATGCCCCGCTGGGCCATGTTCTCAGCCTCGCGCCGCTCCTGCATGGCCTCGTATTGGAAGTCCTTCCTCCGCTCCGTGTGCGTGAGGTAGGCGATGTGCTCGCGCGCGCCAGGCTGCATGTAGGCACCTGCGAGACGCAAAGGCGGGGTGAGGTGCGGGGCCCACCCACAGATGCCCAGGTGCCCACCCGGGCCGGGGGCGCCTCACACCCGCCACCGACAGAGTCCCAGGCACCCTGGGCGGGTGGACAGCTGGCTGCTGCCACGTTAGAATTTCTGGTTCATTCCTAATGACCAGAAATTATTAAAACACTCAACAACCCTGACAGTCATCAGCCACTGTTTCCCACTTGCTAGGGCTTTTACCCCACACATCCCCAAAGGTTTCAGAACCCTGAAAACATAAGGCCAACACTATCAATAGATGTATCTGGGGGGCTGAAACACAAATGTTGAAGGGTCCCCAAATGCCCAGTGGTACTGAGGGGTCCAGAAGGGAGACTGTTCCAGGGGCTCGCGGTCAGGGTGTCTGAGGAGGAGGTCTGGGGTGTGAGCAGAGAGAGGCTCCCTGGTGTCCCCAGGAGGCCTGGGTGAGCAGGGGTCACCTCACTAAACACAGTATACGGCCTGTGATAGGCTAAGCAGAAAGAATTAAATAGAAATTACAGCCCAGCTGCCACTCCATGACCTTGTCTGTGAAAGATGGTCAGACCAGGTGCTTGGCGGCTCTGTTCGGAGGCGAGTGCACTCTGACTGGCTGAGGGGCCCCCAGACCCACCAGGCAGCAGGACCTCCCGAGAGCTGAGTACCACCCAGGGGTAGGTAGTAACTGAGCAGTCAGCTACCTCCTCCTGACGCACCAGACACCACCTATACTGAGTGCAGTCCGCAGTCAGTCACCCTGAGCCCCGGGTCCTTACTGAGACCTGGAAGGGGTGCCTCGCTCCTGTTTTACAGGAGAGACAGTGGGTTAACTCCTAAGTGTTAGAGGGGCCACCCCGCTCTGGCCGGGCAGACGCTCCGAGGAGCTGCCAGCACAGTGATGACGAAGTGGGCCCGGCTCATGTGCGCCTCGTTCGTGGACAGCACTCCTCTCGGCCACTTAGCTGCGGGCTAAGTAACTACGTGGAGGGGCCGCGTCCTGGAGCCCACAGGACCTGAGCTCTGGCTCAGTGTGGGCCACTCACCGACATTGGAGGACACCGCCCTGTTCATGATGTCAAGAGCCTCGTTGAACTTGTCCTTGACGGACGGATGCGCCAGCACTTGGTCCGAGAACATGGACTTCCAGCCCAGGTACCACTTGGTGATCTCCTCGTAATTGGGGCTGTTGCTCAGCCAGGAACACAGCACCTGCCCAGAGGACACAGGTGAGAAGCCGAGTCCGCCGCGGCGGCAGGCAGGAGCACAGCTTCCACTTGCTCATCTGGGTCCCGGTCTACAAGCTGGTGACACTTGCAGGGTTTGAGGGGCTGAAGGGGGTCAGCTCAGCAGTGCAGGGCCCTGTGTGTAGACGCTGCGTCTTGGCCTCCCACCCCCACCCTCGGGCCACTCAGGATTGGGGATGACACAGGCCGAGTGCTCGGCCCCCAGTGGCAAGTGGTCAATAAAGGGTGCGCACTGTGTCCTGCCTGCCAGTGTAGTTTCTTCTCCTTGTGACCCCAGTCACCCCAGCTGTCCCCCCGCACCCCGCAAGCTGACATGGGGCTCACCTGCAGCCACTTGGGGAAGAAGTGCTTTTCGAGGAGACCCACCAGGCTGGAGACGGAGACCATCCCCTCCCAGTCGATGACCCAGTAGAAGGCATCCATGTGCTGTTGGTGGGGGTTGACGACCAGCTCCCCAAGGCACATCCCTGCAAGAGAAGCCCAGCCTCAGGCACAACCAATGTCCGCCTTCGAGCTGCTGTTAAAGGTCGCATTTAAGCTCTTGACATGGCAATTCTTAAAAACCGTTTCCTTCCCTAATCCAGAATTGGCTCTTAGAATCCAGTGGGACAGAAGTTTGAGGACCCCTGTGGTGGCCCTGTCACCAGAGGCCCAAGCCAGAGCTCGGGAGGCAGGCGGAGGCTGACCTGGGCGAGGCAGAAAGGCCCAGGTACACTCAGGCTCTAGACACAGAACTGCACCTCTCAGGGGAGAAGTCTGCGCTGGACGTGGCTGTGCTGCGGGTGGGTTTCCCCGGCTCCTTACCCAGCTTGGGCACGATGTTCTTAACCATGAAGGCCTCCCAGGAGCCAGGGGTGAAGACGTCTTTCCAGGGCTGGAGGATGAGCTTGGCCGAGGAGTCGCTGGGATGCCACTTCTGCAGGGCGCTAGCCAGCTTGCTGCGGATGGGGGAGTAGAGCGGCTCCAGGCGTGCCTGCATGAGGGGCAGCCACGGGTGGACCCACGAGTGGATGGGCACGGTGTCCGTCAGCGGGTTCCAGCTCTCCACCTGCAGGGGGAGCGTGGGGGGCCTGAGTTCATGCGGCCCATTGGGGGGCATGGGCAGACGATGCCCTGCTGGCTGAGCACACGTGTGGGGGGACAGAGTCTCCATGGGACACGGACACTCAGCCACCAATATACCTATGAAATAATACTAATTTCAAGTCTCAGAAACGGTACAATTTTAAGTCATTAAAGAAACCAAGTAAATGAATGCCCACAAAGGGGGCTTTGAGGAACAGGCTGGGGCTGACGTGACAGCCACTGCAGATAAGTGCTGCCCAAGCCCTGGCCCCTCCCCCCGAGGGCCCACCTCCTTCTGCAGCTTGGGGAAGATGAGCTGCTCCAGGATGTTGTCCAGCACCCACACGGGGATGAGGGGTGCCCAGCTGTCCAGGAAGTCCACCATCGGGTCGCAGTTCCTCGGCTGCCACTGTGCGACAATGCTCCGGACAAACGGCATCCAGACCTCCCAGATCAGCCTGCCGGCGGGCGGGGCAAACACTGGTTACACGCCTGTCTGGTCCCACTGCCCAGGGCACCCCCGCCCCCACCTCTGGGGCAGGACTGCGGACACGCAGCAGCAGGGCCCTCCCGTCAGGAAACGATTGGCTGGCCCGCAGCTCTTGTGGCTCCCACTCGGCCTCCCTGGCGGGGCGGCTGTGGGCTCACAAGCCCCCCAGGGGTCTTGCGCTTCCCCACCTGGGGCCCTACTGCAGAGCCGACCCCCTCACTTGGGTCACGGCTTCAGCATCACCCTCCGAGACCTGTACCTCCACCTGCACCCAAACGTGCGCACACAGGTGGCCCCCTTGTCACTCATTCTCAGCCGGGCTGTATCTGTCCGCTCTGTTACCACCCGCCTTGTCCCTTCCTAGAGACCGGCCCTGCCTCACTCCCAGGAGAGCCCGGCGAGCATGACAAGCAGATACTCAGCACACACGGCGAGGGGAGGGTGAGCGAATCTAAGTTCCCGGAGTGGCGCCCGCAGGTGCCCTGGGGCCCACACAGGCCGAACCCCGCCGTCCAGCTGGATCGCTCCTTCCGTGCCCCTGGGGAGCACCTGTGGAAGGCGTCCGCCGAGAGGTCCTGCCCGCCGTGCGACAGGAGCTGGTCGTTCTCCAGGAGGCCCTTCCACTTGGAGATGGTCTCCGTGCCATAGGTGCAGTCCTGCGGAGGAAGACACGGCGGCTGAGCGCAGCCGGCCGGCCCCTTGCCCTCAGGACCATCTGGAGCCCGGGCCGCCCCGGGCGAGAGGCGGCGCGGCGGCCTCCCCGGCCCGCTCACCTTGAGGGGGTCCCACTCCTTGAAGTAGTCCTTCATGAGCGGGTAGACGATGGCCACGGCCAGGTCCACGCGGTCGGACATCCGGTACTCCTCGTAGTACTTGTCGCGCAGCGTCTGGAAGACGCGTGCGCACTCGTCCAGAGTGAGCGGGTCGCTGCAGCCGGGCTGCAGGCGCCGCTCGCACTCCTCCACGAGCGCCAGCACCTCGCTGAGGCTGGCGATGGCCCGCTGCTCCTGCTGCAGCGCCCCCGCCGCCTTCTCCAGCTCGTGCGTCAGGTTCACCACCACGTCCCGCTCGTACTGCAGCTGCCGGTCGTTGCGGATGATCTCCTGCTCCGTCAGCTCGATGAGCAGCTGCAGGTTGTGCTCCAGCTCGGGCAGCGCGAAGCCGGGCGCCCGGGCCTCCTTGCCGGGCGGGGGCGGCAGCTGCGCCTGCGGCGGCAGCCCGTCGTCAGGGACGCTGTGCTTGTGGCTGATCTGGCTGTAGCTGTAGTAGACCTTCTGCTCCCGGCCCGTCATGTCTATGACCTGGGAGGGGGGAGGGGCCGCCCGTAAGACGCGCACACCGGAGCCGGGGCGGGCGCCACGCCCGCGGGAGCCGGTGCGCACCACTCGGCGGAGCTGGGGAAGGGTGGCGATTCTCAGAGCGGGGGCCCGGGCTCAGCAGAGGCCCCGGACCCTACCACCAGGGACGGCAGGACAAGCCCTCGCCTGAGGCCTCTGGACAGACCAGATGGAAAACTGATGACATACTAATGGGGACTATCTCGTTGAGATGAAACTATTTTCATACAAGAGTACAGGCTGTGCCGATTAAAGCAGGCAATAACACAACACACACAGTCAAAAATACCTTGGTAAAAAATGCACACTTTGACAAAAAGACCTGAAAAGATATACATCACAGGTGTTAAAACTGGTCATTTAAGAGAAATAAAAGTGTTACTACTTTTGCCTCCATTTTGCAATTGTCTAAAAGGTGCTGCATACTGCTCTGTAGTGAGAGTTGTTTTTTTAATGTAAAAACATGAAACACACAACCACCACAGAGGCAACCAAGGAGATGAGGTAACGTCCGAGTCTGGGGCAGACTGAGGAATGGGGACAGGATGGCACGGAAACGGAAGTATCGCCGCCGTCTGAGCCAAGACTGCGGCCCGGGGCCACCGGAACCGGAACACTCGCGAAGATGTTCACCTCCGCTGCAGGGCTCGGCCCGCCCAGGCCTGTGGCCGCAAAGGCTCCAGCTGCAACCTGGACGCCCGCTTCCTGCCAGGTCCCAGAGGGCCTGACACCTGACCTTGGCGAACCCACCGTACTCAGTTCTGTGACACACACTGACCTCCTGCAGCAGACACCTGTCCCGACCCCCAGGGCAGTGACGGGAAAACCTCAGTCTGCACATGACGGCCGAACATCGAGTCACCTTAAAGAGGCCACGCGGGGATGCCCCGAGGGCCCCTCCTGGTCAGACTGAAAGAGCTTCCAATGCTTGAACCTGGAGACCACACTTCTAGGAATCTAGCCTTAAGAACTGTCCACAGCACAGACAAGGCTTTACGCACAAAGTAACCTGCCCCAGACCGATCCAGAGATGTTCAAGGTCTAGCAGTAGAATAGCAGGAACTGGCAGCCCCAGAAAGCTGGGAACGTGAGTCAGTTTAGCACTGTCATATGGGGAGTGCGGACAAGGACGAGCCTGAGTGCAGGGAGTGGACAGAGGCCGCCACACACAATACAGCGCGCCCGCTCACCCTCCCACCCCCGCACAGAAGACCCACAGGAGCCTCACGAGCAAGTGATCGCCTCTGGTGTGTGCGGTGACTGGGTCTCCCAGACCCCATCCTGGGCTGGCATCTAGGGCACCTACCTTGACCTGGGAAAGCTCCTTCTGGGGAGCGCTGAGCTTCTTGCTAATCCTGCCCTTGGCTTTCAGCTCTTCCACGGTCTTGTAGGAATACTTGGGCTTCTTCTTGCTTCCGCTAGGGTCTTTCCTCCACTGGCTCAGCTCCTTCTGAAATTCCTAAGTCAGAGGGACACGGTCCATCAGAAGACGAAAGGGCTGCTAAGACCTCCACACAGGTCCGTGCTGAGGACAGTGCCCTGTGACACTGACCCCTCCGAGGAGGCTGCCTGACACCCACTCCCCCTACAAAGGCGAGACCCGTCCCCACACCCCCATTTCTGACCACACTGTGGTTACGCGTGTACTGTGTCCCCTGCTGACGGCAGACAGTAGCCTCTGGCCTGTATCTGGTGCAGTGTGAGGTCGATCCCTGAACCCCAGATGCTGGCTGACGTAACGAACGAGCAGACAGACCAACCCTGACCTGCAGGCGCACAGGCCAGCCGGGCCACCTCCCGACCCACCTCCTCGGCCTCCTCTTCTGAGTCAACCACGGGGAAGTCCTGCAGGGCCTGCGTGGTGCGCTCCGAGCCGTACGCCCCCACCGCGCCCTTCCCCTTCCTCTGCTTGGCCTCGATTGGGTTAATGATGCCTGAGGAATTTCAGAGAGTCAGACGTGAGTGGCTGCCGTTGAGTGCGGGTGTGCCATGCGGGGAGACCCGCTCCCCGGTCCTTCCACGGGGCAGCACGCCGCCCGGAAGCGGAGCCGCTCAGGCCCGCCCCACACAGTCCAGCTGCCAGTGCCACGGAGCAATGTGCCGACAGGAGTGCACTTAGCCTGAGCATGGGCTCCACTTCCACCGGGTTCACTTATTTAGCGGATGGAGTCTTCGTAACCGACTCCGGCACACCCTGTTCACCTGGAAGCCTACTAACATGGAAGGACAGTTATGTTGATTCTGATTGAAGAGAGGTGGAGCTGCCATCTAAACTCCAACTGTTTCTCATTATGCTGTAGATACACGTGTTACACACGCTTCCCTGGTGGCTCAGTGCAGGAGACCAGGGCTCCATCCCTGAGTCGGGAAGATCCTCTGGAGAAGGGAATGGCAACCCACTCCAGTATCCTTGCCTGGAGAATTCCACGGACAAAGGAGCCTCGTGGGTATAGTCCATGGGGTCACAAGAGGTGGACACAACTGAGCGACTATCACTCATCACTCATACGTATTACATTCATATAAAATTTCACATTGATAGTTCCCATCTCCTATGCTTGCTTTGCTCTATACTATGTTTGTGCCTTGGAAATAAATGCGTTTTTCTTTTTAAAAAGTTTACAAACAAAACTACAGCATTTCAGTGAAGAACTGCCCCACCACACACTTGCCAGCTGGTACTGTTGAGCCCCCAAATTAGAACAGCCTTCACACTCACTCCAGGCCACCTTTTCTATCTTCACTCAAGTCCATGGCTTTTTCATGCAGCTAAGTTACCTAACTTGCCCCTTTGTGAGCAGAGCCCAGGGACAGTAACATGAACAAGGATAGTGGGCTGTGATGCGGAGACAGCTTCCAGAATAAGTTCGCTGTGGGGGCTGACCGGGGCAGGAGCTGTCAGCTAACCCAATCCTTGCCAATCTCCTAAACCGTAGCTTATCTACAACCTAGGAGAAACTGTCGATTTTTAAATACTGACAACTAATCTGACATTTTAGAAACACTGGGCAGGCCAGAAAGCAGCTTGTTTTCAGCCCAGCAGACTGTATTAACCCTGACCTCTCCCTCAAGCTGAAGTATGGTGTTGTATGTAACTGGAGTTTTGATAAAGCGCGGAGCTTGGACACGCTGGCAGAGAAGCAACAAAGAAGAGGACAGGCAGATCACGCCCCTCCCTGCCCGCCCAGTCCGAGCCCCCGGGGCAGGCCACCACACCTTGAGCATTCTTCCCCAAGCCCCTTCCAGGGACGTAGCCCATTTTCTGAAGAAGCTTCTGTCCGATTCCTTTTGTGTGTCTTTCCCAGCTGCCAAAATCCATGAAAGACTTGGTTCCTCCTGCAAAACCTTTCTGGCTGGGCTTAAAATTGCCACCCTGAAAACAAAGAAGGAAAAACCTAAGCAAGCAAGCTTGGCTGATGGGACCATGGCCGGGCAGCCACAGAGCAGTGTGAGAAGTATCCTACAAACCACACGGACACCAGTGATGTCTCAGGACAGAGCAAAGACTGCCTGGCACAGCCTCCCCTCGGGGAAACCTGCTCCACGGGGAGACCCACACAACCGGCCTCCAGCAGAAAGCCCCCACCCCAGCAGATGCCAGAGCCACAGTGACCTTCTGGGGACATTAGTAAGGTCACAGCCCCTCAATAAAGACGCTACCGTTTTTAACTTCTTGGGGCCGAAATCTTTCGGAAACTCCTCCTGCTTCACGGGTCTCTCTTCTTCGTCGGAGTCCTCCAGCTCCGCCTCCTCTGCCGCCCCTTTCTTGAGCCCCGCGCTGATGAAGTTGACAGGTGCCGAGTAGTCGCGGGCCCTGCGGGCACACACAAGGTCCAGGGGGTCTGTAAGAACCCTCTCAGGCCAATGTCACTGGCCAGAGAGCTCCTCAGAGCAGACCGTGGGATCCATTTTAAAAGGGCAACACTGACTCCTATCGTCAGTGCCCCAGATCCGGCTCCCCTGTAACCACATCTGACACTTTGACCTGACGTGTCAACTCTGTGACTTCAGACTTACCAATGACGGCATAGAGTTGACTAAAAATCCTTAAGTATGATGTGACTGTCCACTTTTCCTTTAATACATTAAAATAACTTGAGGACTTTCCTGGTGGTCCAGTGGTTATGAATCTGCCTGCCCACACAGGGACACAAGTTCAGTCTCCGGTCTGGGAAGATCCCACATGCCATGGGCAACTAAGCCCACGCGCCTTCGAGCCCATGCTCTGCAACTAAAGAAGCCACAGCAATGAGAAGCCCACGCACCACTAGACAGCAGCCCCCATCTCAGCCAGAGAAAGCCTGCGCACAAAGACCCAGTGTGGCCAGAAGTTAATGAATACTTAAAAAAGATAACTTGGTAAATTCAGTTAAGGCAGGAAAGGTTTAAGAAATAAAGCCTGTTAATATTACTAGTAAAATGGAGAAACACATTCAAACATCAGTAATCATAATTACTGATGATAATAAGACTTCCTTGGTGGCTCAAATGATAATAAAAGTAAATCGGAAGTTGTCAAACAGGAGATAGCAAGAGTGAACACTGAAATTTCTGGAATCGATGAACTAAAATGGATGGGAATTGATGTATTTAATTCAGATGACTATTATATCTACTACTGTGGGCAAGAATCCTTTAAAAGAAATGAAGTAGCTCTCATACTCAACAGAAGAGTCCAAAATGCAGTACTTGGATGCAACCTCTAAAATGACAGAATGATCTCTGTTCGTTTCCAAGGCAAACCATTCAATATCACAGTAATCCAAGTCTATGCTCCAACCAGTAAGGCTGAAGAAGCTGAAGTTGAACACTTCTATAGATGACCTATAAGACCTTCCAGAACTAACACCAAAAAAAGATGTCCTTTTCATCACAGGGGACTGGAATGTGAAAGTAGGAAGACAAGAGACACCCAGAGTAGCAGCCAAGTTTGACTTTGGAGTACAGAATGAAGCAGGGCAAAGGCTAACAGAGTTCTGCCAAGAGAACACACTGGTCATAGCAAACACCCATTTTCAACAACACAAGAGAAGATTACACATGGACATCACCAGATGGTCAAAACCAAAATCAGATGGATTATATTTTTTGCAGCTGAAGATGGAGAAGCTATATACAGTCAGCAAAAACAAGACTGGGAGCTGACTGTGGCTCAGACCATGAACACTTTATTACAAAATTCAGACTTAAATGGAAGAAAGTAGGGAAAACCATGTGGTATGACCTAAATCAAATCCCTTAACAATTATACAGTGGAAGTGACAAACAGATTCAAGGAATTAGATCTGAAATCTAATCGCCATAGATCTAATTAGATCTATTAGATCTCCATAGCCCCAAGAACTATGGATGGAGGTTCCTAACACTGAACAGGAGGCAGTAATCAAAACCATCCCCAAGAAAAAGAAATGCAAAAAGGCAAAATGGCTGTCTGAGGAGGTCTTACAAATAGCTGTGAAAAGAGAAGTGAAAGGCAAAGGAGAAAAGGAAAGATACACTCATTTGAATGCAGAGTTCCAAAGAACAGCAATTGAGAGATAAGAAAGCCTACCTAAGTGATCAAGTCAAAGAAATAGAGGAATAGAGAAATAGAGGAAAATAGAATGGGAAAGACTAGAGATCTCTTCAAGAAAATCAGAGACACTAAGGGAACATTTCACGCAAAGATGGGCACAATAAAGGACAGAAATGGTATGGACCTAACAGAAGCAGAAGATATTAAGAAGAGGTGACAAGAATACACAGAAGAACTATAGAAAAAAGATCTTCATGACCCAGATAACCACGATGGTGTGATCACTCACATAGAGCCAGACATCCTGGAATCTGAAGTCAAGTGGGCCTTAGGAGCCATCACTACAAACAAAGCTAGTGGAGGTGATGGAATTCCAATTGAGTATTTCAAATGCTAAAAGATCGTGCAGTTAAAGTGCTGCACTCAATATGCCAACAAATTTGGAAAACTCAGCAGTGACCATGGGACTAGAAAAGGTCAATTTTCATTCCAATCCCAAAGAAAGGCAATGCCAAAGAATGCTCAAACTACCACACAAATGCCCTCATTTCACATGATAGCAAAGTAATGTTCAAAATCCTCCAAGCTAGGCTTCAACAATACAAGAACTGAGAACTTCCAGATGTTCAACCTGGATTTAGAAAAGGCAGAGGAACCAGCGATCAAATTGCCAACATCCACTGGATCATCAAAAAAGCGAGAGAATTCCAGAAAAAACACCTACTTCTGCTTTACTGATTATACTAAATCCTTTGTTGTGGATTACAACAAACTGTGGAAAATTCTTAACAGATAGGAATACCAGACCACCAACCTGTCTCCTGAGAAATCTGTATGCAGGTCAAGAAGCAACAGTTAGAACTGGACATGGAACAATGGACTGGTTCCAAACTGGGAAAGAAGTATGTCAAGGCTGTATATTGTCACCCTGCTTATTTAATTTATGTGCAGAGTGCATCATGGGCAATGCCAGGCTGGATGAAGGACAAGGTGGAATCAAGATTGCTGGGAGAAATATCAACAACCTCAGATATGCAGTTGACACCACCCTTATGGCAAAAAGTGAATAGGAACTAAAGAGCCTCTTGATGAAGGTGAAAGAGGAGATTGAAAAAGCTGGCTTAAAACTCCAGCTTCAAAGCTTAAAACTCAACATTCAACTCTTAAAAGTAATGGAAATAAAAACAAAAATAAACAAAGGGGATCCAATTAATCTCAAAAGCTTTTGCACAGCAAAGAAAACAAACAAAATGAAAAGACAACTCACAAACTGGGAGAAAATATTTGCAAAAGATGCGACCAACAAGGGATTAATTTCCAAAATCTACAAATAGCTCAGGCAGCTCAATATTTAAAAAAAAAAAAAACCAATCAAAAAAAGGGCAGGAGCCCTAAATAGACATTTCTCCAAAGACACACAGCTGGCCAAGAGGCAACTGAAAAGATGCCCAACATTGCTAATTATTAGAGGAATGCAAATCAAAACTTCAATAAGATATCACCTCACACCAATCAGAATGACCATCATCAAAAAAGCTACAAACAACAAATGCTAGAGGGTTGGAGAAAAGGGGAACCCTCCTACAACTGTTGGTGGGAATGTTAACTGGTGCCGCCACTATGGTGAACAGTGTGAGGTACCTTAAAAGACTAAAAGCAGAGCCATTATATGATCCATCAATACCATACCTGGGTATATACCCATGGGAAACCATAATTCAAAAAGGTACGTGCACCCCGGGACCTCCCGGATGGTCCCGTGGTTAAGAATCAGCCTTGTGATGCAGGGGACACAGGTCTGATCCCCAGTTGGGGAAACTTAAATCCCGTAAGATGCAGGGCAAGTCAGTCCTCACACCACAGCTACTGAGCTCAAGTGCCGCAACTAAGACCCAAGGCAGCTAAATAAATAATGAAGAAGATACACACACCCCAGTATCCACTGCAGCACTATTTAGAACAGCCAGGGCATGGAAGCAACCTAAATGGCCATCAACAGATGAATGGCTAGAGATGTGGCATAATCATATATGTGATGGATTATTATATATATGTGATGATCATTAAAAATAATGAACCAATGCCACTTGCAGCAACATAAACAGACCTAGATTACATTACTAAGGGAACTATGACACAGAAAGACAAATATATGATATCACTTATCCGTGGAATCTAATTTTAAAAATGACACAAATGAACTTGTTTAAAAGACAGACTCACAGATCTCGAAATCAAACTTACGGCTGCCAAAGGGAAAATGCGGGGGGAAGGTTAAATTAAGAGATTAGGGTTAACATACACACACAGGTATAAAACAGATAAGGACTGACTGTGTGGCACAGAGAACTCTACTCAATATTGTGTAACAACCTACATAGGAAAGGTATCTGAAAAAGAGTGTCTCTCCATGTATTTATATGTATATATTTATACACATAAATATATAAATATAACTGATTCACTTTGCTCTACACATGAAACACAACATTTTAAGTTAACAATACTCCCCCACACCCCCCCAAAAAAAAATTTGTTTTAGACACTATTTCAAGTACAAAAATCAAATAAGAAAAGACATTTTCATAAATCAAAATCATAAATAAATAAAACACATTTAAGGGAGATTATATGAATGGAAAGTATGTCAGCAATTTTATCAATCAGATTCTTAGAAAAGCTCGTGCTCATTAAATGTATTTATGAAAACTAAAATACCTAAGAAATGACCTCTGTGAGATGGAAAGCACTGATTTTACCTGACTGCCTCAAGAATGGTACTGACAGTAAGCTCTTAATCACAGCTCCCCTTTGTATAAACGAGCTGATAGCTCTGTACTCTGTGGTTAAAAGAAGAGTGAAGAGAGTCCAATGAAAAAGCCCAGGAATACTGCAAAATAAAGTGATGCTTTCTAAAATGACTAACAAAGTAAATAAACATCCCTGTGGCAATAAGATCCACAGAGGAATTTTCCCCTAAGAGATGCCATATAAGAGCCCAACTCCAGAGTCAGACAGACCCCGATTCTCACAGCTTAGCTGCGTGACTCAGCTGCTGTTTCTTAATCTGTAAAACGGGATGATGATACTAGTGCCTTTCTCATAAGGTCAGTGAGACCAGGCCTGTGAGGAACCCATAGGTTCTGGCTGCTGTTACTATCCTACGATCATACATTCCTGCCCTGTGATCTAGTCATCATCCACTGTTAACATTTCTTGCCAGATGAAAAGAGGCTGAACTGATCTCTGCTCTTTCTCCCTGTCTCCTTTGTGAAAAATGTATGGTCTCAATGGGCTGGAGATTCCAGGCTTCAGGTGGGGACACGGAGACAAACCTCAGTCTGCTACACGCTGTGGTCAAGCACGCTGCAGCCCCCACACATGACTTCACACCAAGGAGGAGGCGGTTTTCGGCCTGAACCCCCAGCCCCTGGCCGCCTTCCCGGCCCAGTCTCCAGCACCTCTTCCCAGACCAGCACCCAGGCCTCCTCACAGAGCCCCCGGCCGCTCTGGCTTCACAGGGCCTTCTCCGCACACACTCCTCCCACCACATCTCCCCGCTCTGCGCAGACCCAGTCTCCTCCTCACCCTCTCCCCCATCTCCCCACAAGACCACTCACATCGTCTTGGACGCCCTGCTCCTCCCATCAAGGCCTCTGCTTCCGTATGTCCCTGACCCATCTTCCCTGACCTCTCAGAACAGGTCACACACCCGAAAAAGTACTCCCCCTCCGGTCCTACATCAGTTACAAACTTTGTGAGCCTGCCTCCATCCTCAAGCGTCTGGGCTCCTGGGAGGGAAGGGCTCGGGCTGCGGCACAAAGCTGGAGACACAGAATCGCTCACTCAACACGAACTGATGATCGGTCAGGAGGCAGCAGCGCTCTGTCCGGAGAGGAACTAGGCTCCCCGGCTGAGGTCACAGCTCAGGTGCTCAGGGAGGCCAGGAGAGAAGCGTACCTGGCGGGGCAGCTCCCCAGCGCCCGGGGAAAGCGGTCCCGCCAGCCATACCGTTTGCCTCCAAAGCTGGGCCTCTCCTCGTCCGAGTCTCGCTCTGCCCACACTCCGTAGGTGGCCTCTTCCTTGGTCTGCCAGTGGCGCTGCCGGTTGGGGTTGAATTCATTCTGGAGATCCCAGTCGGTGATCTCAAAGTTCTCCCGCTCATCCTCGTCATCATCCATGTGGCCTTCCCCGTCCCGGTACAAGTGGGACAGCGACATGGCCTGTCACTCAAGAGAGGAAGAGAAAAGGCACAGTCTGTGACAAGTCCTTGGAGAAGGCAATGGCACCCCACTCCAGTACTCTTGCCTGGAAAATCCCATGGACGGAGGAGCCTGGCAGGCTGCAGTCCATGGGTCGAGAAGAGTCGACCCATGAGCGACTTCACTTGCACTTTTCACTTTTATGCATTGGAGAAGGAAACGGCAGCCCACTCCAGTGTTCTTGCCTGGAGAATCCCAGGGATGGGGTCGCAGAGAGTCGGACACGACTGAAGCAACTCAGCAGCAGCAGTGACAAGTCCTGGGGGCAGCCGCAGAAGGCTGCCCCCACAACTTCCTCCAAACGAAAATTCGCTACAGTCACTGCTACAACTCAATAAAGCAGACGCTAAAAACATATTTTAGAAAACAGGTAGTAAAAAACAGTAAAAAAGACCAATCTCAACAGTCCATGTGGTTAAGCACGTATTTCCTTCTCAATGTTGTCAAACATCAACCACAGTCACATACACAAAAACCACGTAAAAACAACTTAAGGATGTTATTCTACGTATTACTGCCTCACAAATGAGGCAAACATCTTCCTGGACATTATTTTTTTCTATTGCTGAGTGAAGAGTTTCATCTGGACTTATAACAGTTGAGCAAAGTGATTTCTTTTTTTTAGAAAACACTTAAATATGACCCTCAGGTTTTCCTCCCCAGACAGGAACCCCTTTTGAGGCTAGAAGGTAGCAGCGATTATGAACAGGACCTTAAAACAGCACACATCTGTGAACCGGAATGCAGCAGTCAACTCAGGGTAGCTGGGTGATGAGATTCAGCTGTCTCTTGAGTGGATTAACTACAGTACCAACCTTAGAGAAGGCTAGTGAGGCAGAATCAATGAGATGGCTCTTTCAAAACACTTAGCTCACAAAGTGCTTGTTACTCTAGTCCCACGATTAGGTCTATGGCCCCTCCTATTACTGGATTAGCACGGAGCAAAGTGATTGTGAAAGCAGGTGCTGAAATCACACAGCCCTAGTTCAAATCCCCACTCTACCAGGTACTCAGCGTTCGAATATTAAACGCAGACCAAATGCCAAGCATGGAACACCACAAGGCAATACACTGAACGCATGACAGCGCTGTGACCTCTGTCTAGCAGTTGCCAAAAGCAGGGACAGCTAACTCGCTACTTCTAAGGCGGGGTCAAACTCTGGTGGGCTCTGTGGGAAAGTTTTCCCTACTTACTCAACCCACTGGTGCAATGGTTGGGTCCTGCCGGTCCCAACCTCATGCAGGCGCGAAAAGGGGTGAAATATGCTCAGAGGTGGCGGGAGGTCCCAGATATATGGGAATCGCCGATCACCGCTGCCTCCTTGGGCACAGGGCAGGGTAAAAAGCACGGAGCTGTCACGAGTTACAGAGACCCCAGGAGGTGCTAAGCCCTTGCTGGACGCGTCACGCCGATAATCTAATACAGGCAGCAAGACACCTCTACGAGGCAGGTACTGCTAGCGCCGTCGAACTTCAGATTTCAGAAAAACGAGGCTGAGGAATTAACCTGCCCTCGGTTTCACGGCTGGCGAGGCTCGAAACCAGGTGGGACTGCAGCCAGGGCTCGGCGTATCTCTGCCGCGCCGTCCAGGCCCCGCGGTGGAGGTTCGGTGTCCAATTCGGCCCGGAGACCCCGAGCTGCTCCGCCCCCTCCCCGCTGCGGCCGAGCTGTCTGCCAAAGGGAAGAGCGACCGGCGAGGCCGAGACCCGCTTCCGCGCGCCCGAGCCCCCTCTCCTGCTGGCGCGGACTCCTCCCCCGCGTCCCCTGTCCCTCCCCGGCCCAGCTTACCTCTCTCCGGCGCAGCCGACCAAACCGAGCGGCCCGCTCGGTGCGAGAAACTCGCCACTAGGGCGCCGGAACTCGGATGCGGCGCGCCAGAAATGACATCACGTCAGCGGATATGACGCGCTCGTTGCCATGGCAGTGGTGGGACGCTGGGGCGGCTTTGGATTTAGAGCATCTGAACTATTGATACGGTGAGGGTTTTCGCGGCCGAGAACGGCTGAAGGCTGGGTTTTTTTGTTTGTTATTGTTTTTTGTCATGCCCACTTCGTGGTGAGGCCCGCCTCTGACGACTGGTACGGACGTCGCCGAGCCACCCTGGCCGAGGGAGACTCCTTTGTCAGCCTGGGAGTCTAAATCTGCAAAATGGGGATATAAGACTAGCTCCTGGGAGAGTTGTGCGTGAGACATTTGCGGTGGGGTGGGACGGGACATGACATTCAAATAGGAATATAGAAGGTCATATATAGACTGTATCCTGGATCTTCGGGTCTCTCAGTATAAGCACCGTCGTGGGCCCAGAGCGGTTGTCTTATACAGGAGTTTGATTAAGTGAAGGATTAAATGGGCAAACTAGAACTCCCAAGTATTCTGCCAGGCAATCTCTGGATTCTCTTCCTTTCCAACAGGTTGGTAAATAAATCCGTCCACTGATCTAATAAAAATGTACCAAGTGGCCTACAATGTGCTAGGTTCCGGGGATCAAAGGAACTGACAAACAGGGACACTCCTAGAGAATCCCTCACCAGCTCTGGACTCTGCGTCAATACACAGGCGCTAGAGTTCCAATCTCAGCTCCAGCACTTAACAACTGTGAATCCAGGCAAGGCATTGATTACCTTTCTTGAAGCAAAATGGTTAGGATAAAATAGGTAAGCAGTTAAAACTGTACCTGGTACATAACAGATGCTTAGGGAGTGTTAGCACCCTAATTAGGTTAGTTAATTTTACATTTTCTCTCACTCTATCTGTATGATGAAAAGATCTAAGTTCAGTCCTGGCGACCCCATGGACTGCAGCACACCAGTTCTCTCTATCCAGTAAACTCCCTGAGTTTACTCAAACTCATTGAGTCGCTGATGCCATCCAACCATCTCATCCTCTGTCGTCCCCTTCTCCTCCCACCTTCAATCTTTCCCAGCATCAGGGTCTTTTCCAGTGAGTCAGTTCTTTGCATCAGGTGGCCCAAAGTATTGGAGTTTCAGCTTCAGCATCAGTCCTTCCAATGAATATTCAGGAATGATTTCCTTTAGGACAGACTGGTTGGATCTCCTTGCTGTCCGAGACTCTCAAGATCTTCTCCAACACCACAGTTCAAAAGCATCAATTCTTCAGTGCTCAGCTTTCTTTATAGTCCAACTCTCACATACATACACGACTACTAGAAAAACCATAGCTTTGGCTAGATGGGCCTTTGTTGGCAAAGTAATGTCTCTGCTTTTTAATATGCTGTCTAGGTTGGTCATAACTTTTCTTCTAAGGAACAAGCATCTTTTAATTTCATGGCTGCAGTCACCATAAGCTGTGATTTTGGAGCCCCCCAAAAATAAAGTCTGTCACTGTTTCTCCATCTACTTGCCATGAAGTGATGGGACTGGATGCCATGATCTTAGTTTTCTGAATGTTGAGTTTTAAGCCAACTTTTTCACTCTCCTCTTTCCCTTTCATCAAGAGGCTCTTTAGTTCTTCTT